AAAAACAAACAAGAATGCACTCAAGAATTAAGAAGATGAAACTTATAAACATTCAATTCTAAATTGGAATTTTCATTTTCAATTGCAATAGAAAATGGAAGAATGAAACAAATAAAAAAGAAGAAGGCAAATAGAAATAACAATTGTAAAGTTGTTGCTATTTTCTTTTCAATTGCAAAGAAAATAATCAATCATTGTCAGGACATGGCAGGGATTGGCTTGGATGCATTGTCTATAAGAATATCAACAGTTAAAAATATGTTAGAGCCGGGGCAAGGACAGAAGGAAGGAATTTAGGAAAGGAAATAAGACATGAACAGGAAGCTGTAAATTAGTTATAAAAACAAGTTTATAAAGCCATAATAGAAAAACGGAAAATGTAAGGATAAAAAATATATGTATAAAATAAATACTCATAAGAGAATGCAATAATTGAGCTACACCGACCATAAGAATTTTTCTAAATCCTCTAGAGATAGTATTGTTTTATTATTAAATCGAAGTAAGGATTATGTTCGCTGAAGCTGTTGCAATATTGATAACATATTTATATATGTATGTGGAGGGTACATATGAGGAATGTGGAAATTAGATAAGAGTGTTTTAATATTTACGGGGAAGTGAAATGAGAAATAATGGAAAATGTTTAATTTTTTAAAGTAGGGTATTCGAATATTGTGAAAAGGATTTATTTTTTTATTATTATATGATATTTTTTATAATTTGTTATTTATTTGTTTTGTTATTGCTTGATCCATTTTTAGTTTGAAAGGCAACAGGGAATCACAGTGTTATTATGTTAGTTTTTTTCTTGTCCCTAAACTGTCCGTAATCAATCATGTGGAAAAAAATTATAATTATATTATGTTCCTGTCAACATAAAATAATGGAAAACAAGTAAGAAAGTATAGTAGTACTTGATCGACCATAAAATACCTTACATTAATTATTTTGATCAATGTCATGCGCTTTATATGTTGTCATTTTTCAAAGAAAAGTCATCATTTTCTCAGGTTGATATTTTGCAAACCATTCAGAATTTTTATTTAAAAAGTTGTAGCTTTTGTCATAAAGAAAAACAAATTGTGAACTTTTAAAATAAAATAAAAACTTTATCTTCAAGATCTCCAAACTTTAAAAAAATTAGATTTTTAGGTGTTAAACAAAATATTTCAAGTTCTTCTTTAAATTAGGCGTATACTTAATATTTCTAATATCAAGAGATCATTAACACATATACGTACTGGTGTCGTTAATAAAAGCAGTGCAATTTCAAAATGTAAAACTTTTTGATTGAAATGAAACAATGAAGATGAAGTTTTTTGCTTTTATATCTTTACTATTTTCGTTCACTATGACAGGAGCTACTACTTTGTCTCAGAGAGTACATCAAAATTCTGAATGGTGTGCAAAATGTGAGCCTGAGAAAATTTTCTCTCTTTTTCAAATATGACACCAATTTTCTGGAAAAAGTTGCCATATGTGATACTGAGTCGATCGGTTTTACCTTAGGTGGGTGGTTAGAAACTGTTACAACAATCAGCACAAAATCAAAACTATTAATGAAATTGTAAATACGATAATGAGATACATACATATATGTATGTAAACTAGAACTGTTCGTTTGTTTAAATTTTTAAGCGAAAATACAAATTCGTTGAATAGAGATTTGGCTATCTATCTATCTATCTATCTATCTATACTATCTATCTAGCTATCATCTATCTTATCTATCTACTAGCCTAATCTAATCTATCTTATCTCTATCTATCTATCTATTATCTATCTATCTATCTATCTTCTATCTATCTATCTATCTATCTATGCTATCTATCTATCTATCTATCTATCTATCTATCTATCTATCTATCTATTAGCTTATCTATCTATCTATCTTCTATCTATCTATCTATCTATCTATCTATCTATCTATCTATCTAGCTATCTATCTATCTATCTATCCTAAGCTATCTATCGATCTATCATCTATCTATCTATCTATCTATCTATCTATCTATCTATCTATCTATCTATCTATCTATCTATCTATCTATCTATCTATCTATCTATCTATCTATCTATCTATCTATCTATCTATCTATCTATCTATCTATCTATCTATCTATCTATCTATCTATCTATCTATCTATCTATCTATCTATCTATCTATCTATCTATCTATCTATCTATCTATCTATCTATCTATCTATCTATCTATCTATCTATCTATCTATCTATCTATCTATCTATCTATCTCTATCTATCTATCTATCTATCTATCTATCTATCATCTATCTATCTATCTATCTATCTATCTATCTATCTATCTATCTATCTATCTATCTATCTATCTATCTATCTATCTATCTATCTATCTATCTATCTATCTATCTATCTATCTATCTATCTATCTATCTATCTATCTATCTATCTATCTATCTATCATCTATCTATCTATCTATCTATCTATCTATCTATCTATCTATCTATCTATCTATCTTATCTATCTATCTATCTATCTATCGATCATCTCTATCTATCTATCTAATCTATCTATCGTAGCGATCTATCTATCATCTATCTATCTTCTATCTATCTATCTATTACTATCTATCTATCTATCTATCTATCTATCTATCTATCTATCTATTGTAGTACCGGCCAGATTGACAAACGACTTTTAACCTTACCTTTTCTGAGCTACCAGATCGAGCGGCGCTGGTAATTGCATTTGCCGGGCTATTACTCGCCGGATTGGGATGGGATCTTGCTCTACTGAAGCTCGTTGCCTAGGTACAAACAAAATACCAGCTAACTATAATAACTTAAATGAGGGACCCGAAGTGAGATTAACATTCCCTTTAACTCTCTAGCTATGGAACACTCTTACTTCCTTTTCCCTTTTAACTGAACGGCGGATGTTTAGCCGCAACAATACCCTCCCACAAGAGAACCATATGGCTCTCTATCCATGGTAACCTCTGGTAACTGTAGTTACCCCTAACGTTTCCTCTCCCATCTCACCAATCAAATCTTCATCCAATCACTTACCTTTAAATTTCTAATGCCACATCTCAAAGTACAAACTCATATTTCAATTTCTTTTCAACAACGTTATAAAATATTTTGTTTTATTTTAATAAGAAGAAATCCTAATACAAATTTTTAACAAAATTTATGTTTCAAGGCATCATTTTTAAATTAGAATTCATGAGTAAAAAGAAAAGGAAGAAATTTCAAAACAATATTAAATAGCTAATATAAAGGAATTAATTCAAATAACTAAGAAAACAAAGGTAACAATAACAAATTATGAAATGAATTTGATTAAATACTACTACAATTAGGTGAAGCGCTATTTTTTCCAAGATATCGGCAGCTAATTTTGATTTCGCCTTGTGATGCTGGTACGTATAGTATGTAGAACAAAAAAAATCATATATGTATATGTTTGCTAAATTACTGCAATTCTATCATATTCATATCTATTATCTAGGCTTTTAGCTGTGGCATTCATACATACTTCGGTAAAAAGTCTAAACCAGACTTTGCGTCGTCGATGGGACCTAACTTGAGCTCAAGTTGTGGAACCTATGTCGCGCACCTTATCCACTTCGATAAAGGAATGAATTGCTCCCGAACTACCCAGATAAATGCCCTAACTAACGTTATAATAGTTTTTATTTTAAATTTTTCTTTTAATAAAACAAAAAAAAAAAAAAAAATACATATATGCTTCTTTTCAGGTTGTCCGTCTGGTCCTGGTCTGGCGAATACCTTGAGCCCCTTTAGGGTTGGAAAGGGATGATGTTGCGGTGGTGAGATCCCTCGTTGGATGTGGCAGAGGTGGCTTGGGCTTTATTAATTTTTTCTTTTGGTTTGATAATTTTATATTTAGTTTTCTTTAAAAATTTTAGTTCTTGAATTTTGCACTTTTAGCTTTATGTTTCCAGTTTCCTTTCTTTTTTTTTTCTTTTACATTTCAAATTAGTTTTAGCTCTAGGTTTTTTTTTTATTAGCTTTTATAGTTTCTCTTAGTTCTAAGTTGTTTTAATTTTAGCTTTAAGTTTTCTTTTATTTAAGCTATTAATTCTTAAATTTTCTTTTAATTTTTAGTTTTGATTTTATTTAAGTCAATAACTTTTAAATTTTCGTTTAGTTTTAAGTTTTAGCTTTAAGTTTTTAGTTATTAACTTATTAATTTCCTTTAGTTTTAAGTTTTAAATTTAAGTTTTAGTTATTAACTTTTAAATTTACTTTAGTTTTAAGTTTTAACTTTAACCTTTTAATTTCGTTTAGTTCTACGTTTTAGCTTTCAGTTTTTAGTTATTAACTTATTAATTTACTTTAGTTTTAAGTTTTAAATTTAAGTTTTTAGTTATTAACTTTTAAATTTACTTTAGTTTTAAGTTTTAACCTTTTAGTTTTAGGTTTTTAAGTTATTAAATTTTAACTTTCACTAATTATTCCAATCCACTGTTTTAGTTTTATTTCCTCTTATGATTTAATAGCCACGTTACCACATCTTACCTCTCGGTCTTCAGAACGAAAAAAGGACCGAAACTTTCATTTTAGCTCCCCAAGACACCTTCGGGACGCCACAAAATGTCTCCTCATTTCTATATACCTTTTTATTTCAGCTATTTAATTCCCTAACAAAGTATTTATTATTGTTCTTCTTCTTTTGCTTCTTTTTTCTTTTTCTCAAATGTCAACTGACATTTGGCGTTACCAACTACTTGTGTTTGTTCAAGCACAGGGTGCACATGACAAACCCTACCACTCCTGTGTTTCTCTGCGAACACAGGATGGGGGGGAGGATATTTCAAAATTCTTCAAATTTTCCTTAATTAAATTACTTGTGGGGAATTTGTGGGCATTTTCTATGAATTCAAAAAAAAAAAAACATCTGGCAACTTACTTTCATTTCTAGTTATAAATACAACACTGTGTGTAAAGTATTACTTTCAACCCTCTGGCAACCCCAACTGATCCTGAATGAACAGCTGAATACAAATGTATATGACTGAACGTACGCTATGCGTAAGCGTGTTTGTAAAATTACACGCGTTTATAATGTTATCAATGGCGGCTGCAGATAATGAGGTAAGTAATGAATATGAAATAAAATAAAAAGTTAAAATATTTTATAGGATTTACAATTTAACATAAAATAATATTTTCGCTTTCTTTTATTCTAGGATTCTATGGCGGATGGAGCCCATTACTATGGATTTAAGGTAAGTAAACTAAAGAGAATTCATTAATGAATGAAAAACTAATGCGTAGTAAATTATTTTCTTTCCAGGGTGCAGTTACAATGAAGACGACGGACGACCATCGACTGTAATCACGTTTGGTTTATAGGAAAAGGTAAGTAAACTGAATTTAATGAAAATTACAAGTGCAAAACAAGTGAAGGAAAGAAATTTAGTGAAATAAAAGGGTGCGGAATGTACATAAAAAGCTTAAAAGTGAAAATCGAAAATCTACGAACCTAAAATACAAAAATAACAAAAGGGTTTGCCAAAAAGGTGTGTAAACAGAATTTTGAGAAATGTGTTCGATTACACGGACGGTACGTAACGTAAAGTAAATTTTGGTTGCTATATATATTTTATTAACGACTTTAACGCCATAAAAGAAAATAAATTCAGAAAAGTGTTTAAGCTGTGCGTGTACGTAATGTGACGTAACGTAACGGAACGAAATTTATTAAAAACGGACATCCGAGTTGGAATTGAAGTTAAAGTGTTGTAAATATTTGCCAGAGTGGAATTTAATGAGAAATTTTGATCTTAGAAAATACAGTGAGTAACAATAAAAATAAAAAATAAAAATATTTTGTGGCAAAATTCAATCAATTGTTTTGATATAATTCAGTGTAGATATATAATTCAGTGTAGAATATACTTGAACAAATTTTTACCGTGTGCGACAAAAGTGAATGACAAGATAACATCTAAAAAGTGTTAAGTGAAAATATTTACATTTACCAAATGTTTGCTGGGAAAAGTTAATCTTTTTAAGCTTTTGAGTAAATTACAGTGAGTGATACACATGTGTTCAACAAAAAAAAAGTACAATGCCAATCGTGACGCAACCGTATCGTATCGTAACGAAATCGTTATTTAATGAAATCCTTCCTAAAAAAAAAAAATAAAATCCTAATTCTGATGATAATTATAAAATTTTAGATCTGATGATAAATTTTCACCGTGCAGCGTGGAATTTGAATAAAAATATTTTAAAATTCAAATTGAAACAACAACTAAACAAAAAAAAATCGAAATATACAACTATTCAAACTCTGAAATCATATAAAGTTCTTGTTTTCCGATAACAATGAAGCAAAAATTCAACTCAATCAAACTTAAATGAAAAAATCAAAAAAAAATCCGTTTTTTTTTTTCCTCAAAAAAAACTTGAACCTACATATCTATAGAGCCAATGAATTCGATTTGAAATAACTAATTCTATTTTATATATTTTCTTTTTTCTTTTCTTTTAACTACCATTTTAGATTATTAACTTCACAGCCAGGGGAAAGTCTAAATCCATAAGGACTAAAATTCAACCAACCAACCCACTGAAAGGTAATTCCAAAAATAGTTTGTTTTTTTTTTTCTTTCATTAGATTTGATTTAAAATTCGAACGAACCAAACTCTAAAATCCGAAAAAGCAATTAATCCAATTTAGTATTCTAGCAACAAAATTTAAATGAAATTTAATTTTATAGCTATTCCTAAAAATATAAAACTTTAAATTACTTGCTAGGACTGAGGACATACAAAGACTAAATTCACCACAGATTCGCCGGTCTGCTTCTGAAATCCATGGCGAGAGATACCCTCTGTATATCCCCAAAAAAAACTAACAATATTCAAAAAGCGTGTACTAAAATCAGCAGGGCAAAATTCAAAACTTAAGACACTCTACAATTTAATTTTCCTTTAGAGCTAAAAGGTAAGTAAAGTATGAGTATGAGATCATCCAAATCCCATGAAATTAATTTAACAAATGATTAGTTTCCTGAGGCAAAAAAAGTAGGATTATAAGGACTAAAACCACCAGAAATGTTATGATTTTCGTCTTACATTCCTGGCAAATGATACCCCCTATAATCCTCCTGAAATTGTTTAAATCAACATTGTAGTATCCAGATAAATTCAAAATAACTGATACCTTACAAAATCCCACAGGTGATGGACTTCAATGGCCTATAAAGCATGGACTGTCATCCGGTTAAATCATTCCTAGCTGACTGGCAGATATTTATATTAAGTGTATACACCGCAAATTCATCGACTAAAATTAACAATCCACAAATGAGTAAAACCGATTCTCTTTCTTCCAGAATCTGCGGCTTCTGAACCAGCTTCCAACTAAATTAAAATAAACTCGACAGTCAGCTGCAATGTTCGGTGAGTGACTAGTTTAAGATATATACCTAATCATATTACACACCTTAGTACCCTCAGACTTCTACTCCTCGAGATTTTATCCTAGCTGAGCTTAGTTAACTTACCACTAGGTTTAAATATATATAGAAGACAATACTATCATATAGTAGATACAGATTTTTAGTACCCTTTGTTACTTTAACAAAGCTTATTAAAATTATGTTTGTTTTCCCTCAGAAAAATAATGATCCCAACTATCAGTTAGTAATCTTTTATGAATATTGTCATCAGTGAAAATCAACTGATAGCAATAACTCTCTTATGATTCCTTGCAATCATAAGTACATTTATTTACTTTTACCTCGGCTCGCTGTAAAACGGGCTCAGAAAGTGTTATTGGCTTAGATGTCTAATAACCTCTGGCTTCTTAATGGCACGGATCCAGTAGAGCTTAAGAGGTTGCATTATTTGGCCAGTAACCGGTTACACATGTAACCACCTAAGAAACGTCTGCTTGAGCTGAGGTAAATAAATAAAACCTTATTGCAATCCGTGTCTGATTTACTCTGATGGTCGATATGACACTAAAAGCTTGACCAATTTCAGGATAGCGCATAATTTCTTAGAGGATCCCAAACGTAATCCACAGCCAAGATAACAATCTGAGGGGGAAATTAACAGTTATTAAAATACCATTATGAGATATTTAAGTAAGTTACTAACCTTTTTATTTTATGGGGAACCCTAAAACGAAGATCGTCAGACGCTTTGAACTTTCAGGATTAGGACCACCAAGGATTTTAGGCTATTGTTTTAAATCTCTTTGCATGAAATACTCCTAACCTTACACCCTGAAGGTCTTCAACCTCATATAGACTGTTGCCTATAGGCCGAACTATTCTGCATTTTATAAATTTTCTTGCCAATTTAGCGTTGAAAACTGTTCTTAAAGTCGCTCTGCTGGAAATTGCGACGAAAAACTTCTTGACCAGGTATAAATTTTACGGCACTACAACGTGTATTGTACTGTCTCTCGTTCCTTAAATACGCTCGATGTAGATTTTCCCTTATTTTCTGCCTAGTCAAATCCATTTTCACCGACTTCGGGAGGATTTCCGAATCAGGATCATTTAGAACTTGAAGCTTTCTAGCTAGTTTATATATGATACCATGCGAAACCATATTCATTCCAAAAAGTGCGAAATAAGGGGTTACACCTATAGACGATTGGACGAAAATTCGATCTCCGACAAGTATTTGTCCCACTCAGAATGATCATTCTGTAGGTACGAACGTATTGCAGCCAAAATGGTTTGGTTTACACGCTCGGACGCGTTGGCTTGAGGCGAATGAGTTGCAGTTCTCAGATGGGTAATTCCGAAATTTGTTACCATATCTTGGAATTCCCTACTGATAAACTGCTTCCCATTGTCCGACACTATCGTTTCCGGCGTACCAAATTTGTGAAAGACCTCAGAGATCATAAATCTAATAACGTTTTTCGAATTTGCTTTTGACATGGCTTTCAATAGGACGAATTTCGTCAAATGATCCAATACAATAAGTATGAAGCAGTTGCCATTTTTCGATCTCGGATACGGCCCCAAAAAGTCTATGAAGAGTCTATGAAATTGTTTCCGCTCCCGTAGGAGGTCTCAGTGTAGCGTTTGACGGTTTTGACTCCTTGCACGTATTACAGTTTGCAACAAAAGCGCGAATCTGGCAATTCATATTCGGCCAATAGAAGTATTCTCTCACTCTTTTTAAGGTTTTCCCAAATCCTCCATGAGAAGTATGTGGTGGATTGTGGCATTTTTCTATAACACTATTCGTCAGCTCCAACGGTACCCATAATTTCCAGGAAAAGTCTTCATTTAAACTATGACCATCGTACGGACTCACGCGTTTATAGACATAACTGTCTATGACCTTCAAATCAGGCAGGCGTTCGGCATTTTCCTGAACTTTGGCTACCAAGTCCTTATAATCACTACTCCTAAACGCTTCCGAATCGAGATCCAGACAATTGCTTAAATTCGTTGAAACTTCGTCCATATTATAGCGGGACAGAGCGTCAGGAACGATGTTCTTCGCGCCGGGGCGATGCTCTATGCTAAAGGCAAAAGATTGCAGATGCAGACTCCACCGGGCTAAACGACCACTCAAGTCCTTATGGGACATTAGCCATTTAAGGCTGCTGTGATCTGTGATAACAGAAAACGGCATGAGCTCTATGTAGGGACGGAACTTTTTAATGGCCAGTACTACCGCCAGACACTCTCTCTCCGTCACCGAGTAGTTCTTTTGGGCTGGCGTAAGTTTATGGGAGAAAAAGGCGATTGGATGTTCTCCGTCTTCATCATCCCTTGGAAGAGTACTGCTCCTACTCCTAGATCCGATGCGTCACACTGCACGTAAAAGTGCTTGTTAAAGTCCGGGTGTACAAGCACAGGACTTGTGGTGAGGGCCACCTTCAAGTTATCAAAAGCAAGTTTGGCATCGTCGGGAAAGTTAAAAGATTTGGTTTTCTTTAGGGTATTAAATATAGGGGTAGAGATAGTGGCATAATTGGGAATGAACCTCCTATACCAACCGGTGACTCCCATAAAACTTCTAACCTGCCTAGCTGTCTTCGGATAAGGGTATTTCAAGATGACGCTAATCTTTTCGGGGTCAGGCCTTAATCTTCCTCTTCCTACTATATAACCTAAATATCTCAATTCTCTAAAGCAAAATTTACTCTTCGCGACGTTGATGGTCAAACCCGCCGATTCCAAACAACTAGATACCTCCTTCAGCAGACCCAGGTGAGTTTCAAAATCTGGCGATACTATTAGAAGATCATCCAGATAGACAAAAACTCTATCACGTAGTGCAGCTGGAATCACTTTATCCATTAAACGGCAAAGTCTTTGGGCTGCATTACACAACCCAAAAGGCATTATAGTAAAATGGTAAAGTGGTCTTCCTGGCACCGTGAATGCAGTTTTTTCTCTACTGGATGGGTCAGGCCTTAATCTTCCTCTTCCTACTATATAACCTAAATATCTCAATTCTCTAAAGCAAAATTTACTCTTCGCGACGTTGATGGTCAAACCCGCCGATTCCAAACAACTAGATACCTCCTTCAGCAGACCCAGGTGAGTTTCAAAATCTGGCGATACTATTAGAAGATCATCCAGATAGACAAAAACTCTATCACGTAGTGCAGCTGGAATCACTTTATCCATTAAACGGCAAAGTCTTTGGGCTGCATTACACAACCCAAAAGGCATTATAGTAAAATGGTAAAGTGGTCTTCCTGGCACCGTGAATGCAGTTTTTTCTCTACTGGATGCATCTAACGGTATCTGCCAGAATGCATCTTTAAGATCTACGCTGGAAAATAAAATACGTGTCCCCTAACCGGCTGAGCAGACCCTCAATGTGTGGCAGAGGATAGGCATCCTTGATCGTGAGGGCATTCAGCTTGCGAGCGTCCAAGCACAACCGATTCTTCTCGCCCCTACGGACGAGAGTAACCGGATGACTCGCTCTGCTCAATGACCCCAAGATCAAGCATCCTATCAAGCTCTGCGTACATTAGTTTCTGCACCGCTGGCGAGACAGGATAATGCTTGTCCTTCACCGGAGTCGCATCGCAGGTATCAATTATATGGACTTCAAGGTGAGTTCGTCCAAGACCGCGCTTAGAGTAACATGGGAATGATGATATTATTTGGTCTAATCTATACTGTTCCTGTTCTGATAGCAAATGGGTTTCAAATTTTTTATTGTCGTCCGGTTCCGGACCTAGGTTAACGCCATTTGTGGTGAGGCTGGACACGTTTGCGAAGAAACCGAATTTACGCATAAAATTCACACCTAAAAACAGGGGTTTATTCAGGCTGGGTACCAAGTAGAAAGTAACTTCGCTGGAAATTTTATTGAATGTCAATGTTGTCTTAACACGGCCTACCATTCTATGCGGACTACCATCGGCAGTCTTAACAAACGAAAAAATTTTGAAATTTGAAGTCCTGCCTTTTCCACAAAACTCAGGCAATCTTTCCCTAGACAGGTCACAGTCGCCCCACTATCTAGCAGACCTTCTATTTCGTTACCGTTTATAGATAATTTGACATAAAAACGTGTATCATCGCCTTCATACAATGATGCTTCCATTATTTCCCTTCGAATCTGCTTTCTTCTTTTATACCTTTCCCGTGCCTTCTTAATCTTACTCGAAACTTCACCAAAAATTCTTAACCTAGCTTGCCTGTACTCTTGTATTCTCTGATGTAATGGTTTTATTCTATAAACATTTTGTGTTTCTGCAACAACTTTCCTATCTAAGTTTTCTAAAATCTGGATTCTGTTCATAGGCTCTATGATACTCTTACTGGGAGTGATTTTCACGTTTGGGTTGAACGAGTCCTCCCCAGCTTGAGGCTTGTTCAACATCACGTTTCCCTGGCATTTCGGGCATTTGGGTGTAACGACATTATCCCGACCACATCTATAGCAAAATATTCTGCGTGTGGGTGCCGGACAATCCATAAAGCTGTGGCCAACTTGTTTACAGTTCCAACACACGTAACGGTCATTAGGGGTTATGGCTTCCACCTCCAAATCTGACACTGGAATTGGATCATCAAAATCAATTTCATGAATACGTTGTGCTGGTAAAGGACGATTCTGAAAAGTCTGCCTTTGGCTAAACAACAAATTCTCCGCCCTCTTTGCTTGCTGACAAAACTCATTCAGTGTTCCAATCTTAACCGAAAATAACAAGTGCGATAATGATGGCTTTAAGTTTAATTTCATTATTTCTATAAGATCCTTTTCGGAATAGGGTGATCGCTGCTGATTCCTTAGCTTCATTACGGCATTATAAAAATCTTCGAATGTTTCTTGCTGTAACTGTCGTCGGTCCATAATTTTCTTTTGTAATACGAACTCACTCTCGTACCGACGGTATTGAGTTAGGAATGCCCTCTCCAGATCTTCCCAGGATTGTATTGGGGTCAATTTACGGACATTCCAGTACCAATCCAGAGCTTGACCTTCCAAAAGGAGATGAAAACTGCGGCGGATGTCATTAAATGAGCAGTTATAGTCTTGGCGCAGCACGTCCACTCTAAATATAAAATCTTCTGCACTTATTGACTTATTTGTCCCATCAAACTTAATGCCCCATTTCGATAAATCGATCTTTCTGTTGTTGGTGAAAGTAAACTCAGGCGGTAGACTGGGAGCTGGTGACGAATGAGATGCGAAAATAGGAGCTTGCTGAGAATTTGGTTGTTGATTATTTGTTGCACCATATGGTGTTTGTTGTTGCATACATGGTTGTTGTGGCTCTTGAACTGGAAAACTATACGGGTGCTGTGATGGTAATTGCTGAGGACCAATGTTCCGTTGAGCCCCTGATTGTAATTGTGTTGGATTTGTATACACGGTATTTTGTGCCATATTTGGAGGATTTGTCGGTGCAGTCAAACGACTGACAGCTCGAGTTATCTCCTGCAACGTATTTTGCAAGACCAACGTCTGACGAGCCACCTCCTCACGAATAAGGTCTGCATTAGTAACTGCCCTATTGTTGGACGTCGGATCCGACGGCGCAGGGACCGCATTTTGCCGATATTCCTGTTGGACATTACGAGCAGTAATACTACTGTACTCTGGGGTAGTAATAGAAACATTTGATACACTCGAATCATTTGACCCACCCGTCCTATCTTGAGCCAATGTCATAAACTGTTGCACGCTTGGTGCTATGGGCGCCATAGATGTGGTGACCGTATTGGTATTTGGCGCGGAACTACCCGTTACTGAATTCGGAACAATTGTTTGATCCGTAGAACGCGGCATATTTTCTATGTTAACGACCGTGTCACCGGTACCTAACTGATTCCTATTTGAACGAGTTAAAACCATAACCCAAGCGAAAACAAATTAACTCACTTCACTGAAAATTACTTTGAATTTGAGGCAAGGTAATCACCGTAAGATATATATTAAAATAAAAATAAAATATTTTCACCAAAATAAAGAAAATTATAAAACAAAGTAAATATAAAATATATAAGAAAGTGCATATTAGGTAGCGATTGGATGTCAAAATGATGATGAGATAGGAGAGTAACAAAAAGGAAAAAGAAAAAGATGACTTCCTATCGTGCCAAAATAACTAATCTTCCAAAACTTTTATATTAATTTCCAAAAGAGAAAAAGGAATGTTACTGTATACCAAGGGAACTTTACGTTAGAGAAAATCAAAAGTTGGAAACCTTGAGTAGCTCTGGTGATTGCAACTGATGCCTATCGGCTGATATAGCAAAAGGACTAACCACCACAACAACCCGGATTCCCAAAAAGCACCAATAGAAAATTCACAAATTCCTATAGCAATTAGTCGCCTAATAATAACCGCAAAGGACTAAGACTTATCCGAATTTGAAAAGATTCTAGATACTTTAAAAACTACTTTACCTTACCCCCAAGTCGCAATTACGTTCGCCAAATTGACATATTGACGCAAGACCTACTTGGGATTCAATGGAGTAAAAATGAAAACTACATGAAAACTGAACTATTGGTAGAAAAATGAAAACAAATCCATCCTAATCAATCAAATGTCGCAACGCGTTAAGGACTCTGTATCCTACTCAACGGGACTTACATATCCTGACTAGAATTTAATAACTTGAAGAGAAAAAAAAAACAAAAAATCTCACTTCGGGCCCCACGTTGGGCGCCATTTGTAGTACCGGCCAGATTGACAAACGACTTTCAATCTTACCTTTTCTGAGCTACCAGATCGAGCGGCGCTGGTAATTGCATTTGCCGGGCTATTACTCGCCGGATTGGGATGGGATCTTGCTCTACTGAAGCTCGTTGCCTAGGTACAAACAAAATACCAGCTAACTATAATAACTTAAATGAGGGACCCGAAGTGAGATTAACATTCCCTTCAACTCTCTGGCTATGGAACACTCTTACTTCCTTTTCCCTTTTAACTGAACGGCGGATGTTTAGCCGCAACAATACCCTCCCACAAGAGAACCATGTGGCTCTCTATCCATGGTAACCTCTGGTAACTGTAGTTACCCCTAACGTTTCCTCTCCCATCCCACCAATCAAATCTTCATCCAATCACTTACCTTTAAATTTCTAATGCCACATCTCAAAGTACAAACTCATATTTCAATTTCTTTTCAACAACGTTATAAAATATTTTGTTTTATTTTAATAAGAAGAAATCCTAATACAATTTTTTTTAACAAAATTTATGTTTCAAGGCATCATTTTTAAATTAGAATTCATGAGTAAAAAGAAAAGGAAGAAATTTCAAAACAATCTTAAATAGCTAATATAAAGGAATTAATTCAAATAACTAAGAAAACAAAGGTAACAATAACAAATTATGAAATGAATTTGATTAAATACTACTACAATTAGGTGAAGCGCTATTTTTTTCCAAGATATCGGCAGCTACTTTTGATTTCGCCTTGTGATGCTGGTATAGTATGTAAAACAAAAAAAACATATATGTATATGTTTGCTAAATTACTGCAATTCTATCATATTCATATCTATTATCTAGGCTTTTAGCTGTGGCATTCATACATACTTCGGTAAAAAGTCTAAACCAGACTTTGCGTCGTCGATGGGACCTAACTTGAGCTCAAGTTGTGGAACCTATGTCGCGCACCTTATCCACTTCGATAAAGGAATGAATTGCTCCCGAACTACACAGATAAATGCCCTAACTAACGTTATAATAGTTTTTATTTTAAATTTTTCTTTTAATAAAAAAAAAAAAATACATATATGCTTCTTTTCAGGTTGTCCGTCTGGTCCTGGTCTGGCGAATACCTTGAGCCCCTTTAGGGTTGAAAAGGGATGATGTTGCGGTGGTGAGATCCCTCGTTGGATGTGGCAGAGGTGGCTTGGGCTTTATTAATTTTTTCTTTTGGTTTGATAATTTTATATTTAGTTTTCTTTAAAAATTTTAGTTCTTGAATTTTGCACTTTTAGCTTTATGTTTCCAGTTTCCTTTCTTTTTTTTCTTTTACATTTCAAATTAGTTTTAGCTCTAGGTTTTTTTTTCTATTAGCTTTTATAGTTTCTTTTAGTTCTAAGTTGTTTTAATTTTAGCTTTAAGTTTTCTTTTATTTAAGCTATTAATTCTTAAATTTTCTTTTAATTTTTAGTTTTGATTTTATTTAAGTCAATAACTTTTAAATTTTCGTTTAGTTTTAAGTTTTAGCTTTAAGTTTTTGGTTATTAACTTATTAATTTACTTTAGATTTAAGTTTTAAATTTAAGTTTTTAGTTATTAACTTTTAAATTTACTTTAGTTTTAAGTTTTAACCTTTTAGTTTTAGGTTTTTAAGTTATTAAATTTTAACTTTCACTAATTATTCAAAGCCACTGTTTTAGTTTTATTTCCTCTTATGATTTAATAGCCACGTTACCACATCTTACCTCTCGGTCTTCAGAACGAAAAAAAAAGGACCGAAACTTTCATTTTAGCTCCCCAAGACACCTTCGGGACGCCACAAAATGTCTCCTCATTTCTATATACCTTTTTATTTCAGCTATTTAATTCCCTAACAAAGTATTTATTATTGTTCTTCTTCTTTTGCTTCTTTTTTCTTTTTCTCAAATGTCAACTGACATTTGGCGTTACCAACTACTTGTGTTTGTTCAAGCACAGGGTGCACATGACAGTCAATTTGATAGATCGGTAGAATTATTGTGCTATGCTTAGTAAACGCTGTAATCTGAGGTTCCGATATGGTTGCAATTAACTTTGGCAGTTTTCGTGCTAGGACAGTCATTTATGTATCATTTTAAAGCATTACAGTTGCACTTTGTTTTGGTGTATAATTTGTGGCATAATGAATTTTTACAAAAATTGGATAGATCGGTATATTTATTGGTACAGGTTTAAAAATGCGGTAATTTAAGGCTTCGATATGATTGCAAATAACTTTTACACATCTTTTTATTGCATTATAGTTGCCATTTGTTTTGGTATATAATTTATTGCATAATGTATTTTTAGAAAATGGCCAATTGGATAGATCGGTAGAATTATTTTCCCAGGTTTAAAAAGGCGGTAATTTGAGGTTCCGATATGGTTGTGAATAACTTTGACAGTTTTCATGCTATGACAGTCATTTATGCATCATTTTAGAGCATTATGATTGCACTTTAATTTGGTATATCATTTGTGGCATAATGTGTTCATCTAAAAAATGGTCAATTTGATGGATCGGTAGAATTATTGTTCTATGTTTAAAAACGCGGTAATTTGAGGTTCCGATATGGTTGCAAATAACTTTTATAGTTTTCATGTTTTAACAGTCGTTTATATATCTTTTTATTGCATTATAGTTGCCATTTGTTTTGGCCAATTGGATAGATCGGTAGAATTATTTTCCCAGGTTTAAAAAGGCGGTAATTTGAGGTTCCCATATGGTTGTGGATAACTTTGACAGTTTTCATGCTATGACAGTCATTTATGCATCATTTTAGAGCATTATGATTGCACTTTAATTTGGTGTATCATTTGTGGCATAATATGTTCGTCTAAAAAATGGTCAATTTGATGGATCGGTAGAATTATTGTTCTATGTTTAAAAAGGCGGTAATTTTAGAAAATGGCCAATTGGATAGATCGGTAGAATTATTTTCCCAGGTTTAAAAAGGCGGTAATTTGAGGTTCCGATATGGTTGTGAATAACTTTGACAGTTTTCATGCTATGACAGTCATTTATGCATCATTTTAGAGCATTATGATTGCACTTTAATTTGGTATATCATTTGTGGCATAATGTGTTCGCCTAAAAAATGTTCAATTTGATGGATCGGTAGAATTATTGTTCTATGTTTAAAAACGCGGTAATTTGAGGTTCCGATATGGTTGCAAATAACTTTTATAGTTTTCATGTTATAACAGTCGTTTATATATCTTTTTATTGCATTATAGTTGCCATTTGTTTTGGCCAATTGGATAGATCGGTAGAATTATTTTCCCAGGTTTAAAAAGGCGGTAATTTGAGGTTCCGATATGGTTGTGGATAACTTTGAAAGTTTTCATGCTATGACAGTCATTTATGCATCATTTTAGAGCATTATGATTGCACTTAATTTGGTATATCATTTGTGGCATAATATGTTCGTCTAAAAAATGGTCAATTTGATGGATCGGTAGAATTATTGTTCTATGTTTAAAAACGCGGTAATTTGAGGTTCCGATATGGTTGCAAATAACTTTTATAGCTTTCATGTTATAACAGTCGTTTATATATCCTTTTATTGCATTATAGTTGCCATTTGTTTTGGTATATAATTTATTGCATTATGTATTTTTAGAAAATGGCCAATTGGATAGATCGGTAGTATTATTTTCCCAGGTTTAAAAAGGCGGTAATTTGAGGTTCCAATATGGGTGTGAATAACTTTGACAGTTTTCATGCTATGACAGTCATTTATACATCATTTTAGAGCATTATGATTGCACTTTAATTTGGTATATCATTTGTGGTATAATGTGTTCGTCTAAAAAATGGTCAATTTGATGGATCGGTAGAATTATTGTTCTATGTTTAAAAAGGCGGTAATTTGAGGTTCCGATATGGTTGCAAATAACTTTGACAGTTTTCATGCTAGGGCAATAGTTTATGCATCATTTTAAAGCATTACAGTTGCACTTTATTTTGGTGTATAATTTATGGCATAATGAATTTTTACAAAAATTGGATTTATTGGTAGAGGTTCAAAAATGCGGTAATTTAAGGCTCCGATATGGTTGCAAACAACTTTTATAGTTTTCATGTTATAACAGTCGTTTATATATCTTTTTATTGCATTATAGTTGCCATTTGCTTTGGTATATAATTTATTCCATAATATATTTTTAGAAAATGGCCAATTGGATAGATCGATAGAATAATTTTCCCAGGTTTAAAAAGGCGGTAATTTGAGGTTCTGATATGGTTACGAATAACTTTGACAGTTTTCATGCTATGACAGTCATTTATGCATAATTTTGAAGCATTATGATTGCACTTTAATATGGTATATCATTTGTAGCATAATGTGTATCTTTACAAATTGGTCAATTTGATAGATCGGTAGAATTATTGTTCTATGTTTAATAAACGCAGTAATCTGAGTTTCCGATATGGTTGCAATTAACTTTGGCAGTTTTCGTGACAGGACAGTCGTTTATGCACCATTTTAAAGCATTAAAATTGTCATTTGTTTTGGTATATAATTTATTGCATAATGTATTTTTAGAAAATGGCCAATTGGATAGATCGGTAGAATTATTTTCCCAGGTTTAAAAAGGCGGTAATTTGAGGTTCCGATACGGTTGTGAATAACTTTGACAGTTTTCATGCTATGACAGTCATTTATGCATCATTTTAGAGCATTATGATTGCACTTTAATTTGGTATATCATTTGTGGCATAATGTGTTCGTCTAAAAAATGGTCAATTTGATGGATCGGTAGAATTATTGTTCTATGTTTAAAAACGCGGTAATTTGAGGTTCCAATATGGTTGCAAATAACTTTTATAGTTTTCATGTTATAACAGTCGTTTATATATCTTTTTATTGCATTATAGTTGCCATTTGTTTTGGTATATAATTTATTGCATAATGTATTTTTAGAAAATGGCCAATTGGATAGATCGGTAGAATTATTTTCCCAGGTTCAAAAAGGCGGTAATTTGAGGTTCCGACATGGTTGTGAATAACTTTGACAGTTTTCATGCTATGACAGTCATTTATGCATCATTTTAGAGCATTATGATTGCACTTTAATTTGGTATATCATTTGTAGCATAATGTGTGTTTTTACTAATTGGTCAATTTGATAGATCGGTAGAATTATTGTTCTATGGTTAGTAAACGCTGTAATCTGAGGTTCCGACATGGTTGCAATTAACTTTGGCAGTTTTCGTGCTAGGACAGTCGTTTACGCACCATTTTAAAGCATTAAAATTGCCATTTGTTTTGGTATATAATTTACTGCATAATGTATTTTTAGAAAATGGCCAATTGGATAAATCGGTAGAATTATTTTCCCAGGTCTAAAAACGCGGTAATTTGAGGTTCCGATATGGTTGTGAATAACTTTGACAGTTTTCACGCTATGACAGTCATTTATGCATCATTTTAAAGCATAACAGTTGCACTTTGTTTTAGTGTATAATTTGTGGCATAATGAATTTTTACAAAAATTGGATAGATCGGTATATTTATTGGTACAGGTTTAAAAATGCGGTAATTTAAGGCTTCGATATGATTGCAAATAACTTTTATACATCTTTTTATTGCATTATAGTTGTCATTTGTTTTGGTATATAATTTATTGCATAATGTATTTTTAGAAAATGGCCAATTGGATAGATCGGTAGAATTATTTTCCCAAGTTTAAAAAGGCGGTAATTTGAGGTTCCAATATGGTTATGAATAACTTTGACAGTTTTCATGCTATGAGAGTCATTTATGCATCATTTTAGAGCATTATGATTGCACTTTAATTTGGTATATCATTTGTGGTATAATGTGTTCGTCTAAAAAATGGTCAATTTGATGGATCGGTAGAATTATTGTTCTATGTTCGAAAAGGCGGTAATTTGAGGTTCCGATATGGTTGCAAATAACTTTGAAAGTTTTCATGCTAGGGTAATAGTTTATGCATCATTTTAAAGCATTACAGTTGCATTTTATTTTTGTGTATAATTTATGGCATAATGAATTTTTGCAAAAATTGTATAGATCGGTATATTTATTGGTAGACGTTCAAAAATGCGGTAATTTAAGGCTTTAATATGGTATATAATTTGTAGCATAATGTGTGTTTCTACTAATTGGTCAATTTGATAGATCGGTAGAATTATTGTTCTATGCTTAGTAAACGCTGTAATCTGAGGTTCCGATATGGTTGCAATTAACTTTGGCAGTTTTCGTGCTAGGACAGTCGTTTATGCACCATTTTAAAGCATTAAAATTGCCATTTGTTTTGGTATATAAT